CACAGGATAGGGGCTGTGGGGATGCTGCATTGGGGCAGGACGCCTGGCTCTCGGCCGATTCTCTGTGTGGTCTCGGAGAAGTCAATGACCCCAGGTTTGCTCACCTGGAAAGGGGGTGTAACAAGCCATCCCTGCTATGAAGGGTGTGCCAGCTTTCATTAAGGGCTCAGGCACCGTCCCAAGATTGCCAGATACGGTACGAAGCCAGATGAGATCACGCTCGACATCAATCTTCCCAGGCGGTGTTCGCAGGGCCGGGTTCGTAGCAGCGTTTTTGGGAGAGGAGGGGTTGCTGGAGCCAACCTGTGCCGCCCACGTACGGCTGCTGACACCGCCAGCGCAGCACAAGGCACCTCTGCAATTAAGTGGGTTGCAAATGAGATGCAGACCATGGTCTGGAGCTAAATTTTACCTTGGCACAATGAAGCAAGAGGCAGCAAGTCGCTGCAGGCCCTCAGCAGCAAAGGCTGCTCGGCACACGGATGCTTTTGGTAGAAGCTTGATCAGCCCAGGGGCTGTTCTTGCAGTAGATGGTCCCTGGAAGCCAGAGTTTTTGAGAGACCCCCACCCCTGGGGGACTCACTTCAGGGCTGTATTTGGGGTGGCTGGGCAACTGGGCACAGACAGCAGCACGATTTGCCCCGCAATCTTTTGGGGTACAGCCTTGCCAGGTTGCTTAGCACGAACCCCACAGAGAGACCAACATCCCCACAACATCGCTGGAGCTCCTGCTGCTCCCGGCCATGCCCTTGATGGAGACACAAGAGTGTTTTCTTATGGCCTGGAGCCATCCTGATGGCCAAGTGCTCAGGATTTAAGGCTTTATGTTGGTAGGACCCTATCTCTGTACAAACGGTCTGGGAAGAGCATCACTCTGCCATGGGGACAGTGCATGCCCAGCTGCAGGAAGGATCCCAGGACTGGGGACACTGGAGGGTGGCCAGGCATGGTGGTGAGGAAGCCACCACACCAGGCAGGAAGCACTTGTAAAGGAGGATGGAGGACGGGAGGGCAACACATGGCAATGGCACCTCCAACCACCGTACTCCTCCCTCCACCGCTACCGCCCCGATTAGCACACATCCGCCCGGGGAATGAGTGGAATAGGGGAGGAAAATTGCTCTGAATCAGCCTGAGCTGGTCCCTTCCACCGGCTACTCCCTCCGAGCCTGCTGCCACCACGGTGCCATCCTGCGGCAGCACGTCCCCATCCACAGCGGCGTCAGGGTGGCTTTGCTGGGCTCTGGGCACCAGTTTGCCCACGACAGCAGGTCGGCTCCTGGCCATGGGCCTCACCGGCGCCCCAGGACCGACCAGTTTTACCCCTCTGTGGCTCATCCTTATCGGCGTGTCTAGACTGATAACAAGCGCGACGCGCGCAGTGCATCAAAGTCCCCAATTGCCACAGCTCTGGGCATTGTGCAACCCTTTCTGTGCCAGCCACCGGGCTGCTGGACCTGCGTGGAGGGCTCTCAGGGGGTGAAGGGAGTCTGCAGCAGGTGGAGGAGGTCAACCATGGGTGGAGGGGGTCCGTGGTGGGCAAGGAGACCAGGCAGGTTGGGGATGTTGTGCTGGGTCCCAGCTGGGAGGCACTGCTCAACCCCAGCTGGATCACATCCCCTCGTTGCAGAGTCCTTCATAAAACCCATCCCTTGGGGATTTCAACCACTTTTCTCCAGCCTGGGAGCTCTGGGAGGGGCTCAGCAGTGTGAGGAGCTGGCAGGGCTACCCTGAGGCTGTTTTGATGGGACAGGACAAGGTGGTAGCTGGGGGAGACATAGTCCATAGGCAGGGTCCAATGGCATTGCACCTCATCGAGGCAAAGCTCAGGGAGAGGGATGTGGGGTACAACCCCCACCAAAAAAAAAAGGAAAAGGAGGAGGATTTAGCATTCATCTGCATCCACCTTTTGCCTGCTGCTTTGAGCTTGCAGAGTCCTTCATAAAACCCATCCCTCGGGGATTTCAACCACTTTTCTCCAGCCTGGGAGCTCTGGGAGGGGCTCAGCACTGTGAGGGCCACCCCGAGGCTGTTTTGATGGGACAGGACAGGGTGGCAGCTGGGGGAGACATAGTCCGTAGGCAGGGTCCAATGGCATTGCACTTCATCGAGGCAAAGCTCAGGGAGAGGGATGTGGGGTACAACCCCCTCCAAAAAAAAAGGAAAAGGAGGAGGATTTAGCATTCATCTGCATCCACCTTTTGCTTGCTGCTTTGAGGTGTCCCCTGGAGGAACCATGGTGCTTCTCCATTCTCCTGCTCCTCACGGGACACAGGTAAGAAGAGCTGATGTGGAAATATCGAGTCTGAAAAAAAAAAAAAAGAACCCATACCAGCAAAATCACACGGTGGCTTGAGCAGAGGGGTGTGAGAGAGTAGTCTTGGGTGTTTGCAAGTCAGTGCATGTCCTCGTGATGCCAGCTTAGCCCAAAAAATTAGGTTTAGTTCCTGACACATAAATCAGAATAATCCTACTTATTGCAAACAGCTCTGTGGTGTAGAAATAGGGGGTGTGACGAAGAGGGGGGGTCACAGGACAAGGCTCTGCCTCCCATCAGTGGGTCGGGGTGCCACCCTAGGGAGCAGGGCAGGACTGTGGGGTTCCCCGGGCTGGTGGCCCCCCCAGCAGCCTCGGTGGCAGATGCCACCAGGTGGCAGCAGGAACCTGCCGCAGATGGCCTGGTCCTCAGCTTGCAAAGATGGAATCCGGCCTTAAAACCTAGGGGTGAAGGCGGAGAGGGGGGCTGGGGGCTGCACACCCCCTGCTTGGTGCTGCTGGAGAACTGCTCTGGGGGCAGCAAGGCTGGAGGAACCCAGATGCCATCCCCAAACAACGTGGCCATGGGTAGAGGAGCACTTTGCCCACCCACCTGATGGAGTATCCCTCTGTGGCATGGCCAAGGTGTATCCAACACCCTCTTCCTTGCGTTGCTTTGACGTCCCCTCTTTTTGGGAGCTGTGGCTTCTGCTTGGGGGCAAAAGGATGCGTATGGATTTGGGGACTGTCCTGCTATTATTGGAGGACCCGGTGATCACCTCTGCTTGCTTGCATCCTGGTCCTGCTCTGCTCAGGATGTGTGGTAGCTCGTTCTTCTCCACCTCTGGTGTGATGGTCCAACAGCCCCAGTGGGTGACACAACAACAGTCTGGCACCCCGGGTTTCAGGGGTGCATAAAGTCCTACTGTCTTGGCAAATATCCTGTTGCATCAGCACCGCTGAAGAGGCTGGTTCATGCCTGGACCTGGGGAGAAGGTCCCGGGGTGGGTTGTGGGTGCCCCCAGCACCCAGATTTATGTGCTTGACTCCCGCACAGGGGGACCCCTCTGCTGCAGAGAGCAGAAGGGCTGGCCACCCACCGGCAGGGTGCTGAGCTCCTGAAAAGCTGGTTTGCTGCACATAGGACCCAAATCACCCTTGTCCCAAAAGCTGGACATCCCCTTATCGGTCTCTTCTCCCAAGGAACAGGCGATGGGACAAGAGGAAACAGCCTCAACTTGCACCAGGGGAGGTTTAGGATGGACGTTAGGAAAAATTTCTTCTGAAATTTTGACCTGAAAAGGGTGGTCAAACATTGGAACAGGTTGTGGTGGAGTCACCGTCTCTGGAGGTACTTAAAAGACGGGTAGTTGTGGTGCTGAGGGACACAGCTTAGTGGTAACTTGTCAGTAGTGGGTTAACGGTCGGACTTGATGATGTTAGAGGTCTATTCCAACCAAAATGATCCCATGATTCTTATGGGACAACCCTGGGATGAGATCAGTTCTTGGAGGTGATGTGCTTCTGCCCTGGCAGGGTAGTGGCAATGATCCAGCTCCACTCTCTCTCCCTCGGGGCTTGTATCTGCTCCAGAGACCCTAAAGTGCTGTGGGATGGGGTGCATAACTCATTTTGGGGTGCAGGATTGAGTCTTGGGGGAGCGTGACTCATTTTGGGGTGCAGCATTGAGCATTGAACTGACTCCAGAGGGGACCTGCCACCCTGGGCAGGGTCAGGCAGAGCTGAGCGGACGCCGGTCCCTGTAGCAGATCTTCACCTCATGAGAAGGTGTTTGACACTTCAGATGTCAAAATGGACTTCCAAAGGAAGCTGAAGCAACCCGGCCAGCAGGGGTGAAGCAAACTTGTGGGCAGCCTTGTGTTAACCAGGGGGCTTGCTTCAGCCCCGCTGGTTTGGGGAAGCTCGTGGCAAGTTCCTTCAGCAGCTCGGGGTGATTTCAGGGCTTTGAATCACCCTTAGGAAATCACATCTGTTCCTTTTTGGTTTTTTTCCCCCTTCCCCACCTCTAAAAGGCGTTTGCAAATCGGTAGCCAGGCTCTAAGCACCCACAGTGGGAGGCTGCTCGGCAGCTTCATGTGCATTTCCAGCCACCCACTCTGGAAAGCAACGATCAATGAGGGGCACCTCCTCGGTGCAAACTCTGGATTCTCCTAGTGAGGAGCTGGGGTTGTTCTCATTTCTTGCCCACACAAATCCCAGCAGTCAGACCTCGATGTAGCACTAAAACTAAACTCATCCACCCCCCAGCTCCCTTCCAGCCCCATGCCAGGGCCCTCGCAGAACAAAATTGCCCTAAAAAAGGTGTTCCTCCATCCCTGTTCTTCCTTCCAGCTCTTACCCAGCTCCCTTCCAGCCCCATGCCAGGGCCCTCGCAGAACAAAATTGCCCCAAAAAAGGTGTTTCTCCATCCCTGTTCTTCCTTCCATCTCTTGCCTACCACCACAGCTCAGTCCTAGGAGACACACAGAGTGTTTTCAGGCCAAAACAGGTTTTTCTTATAGTTAGAAATGCAAAGACCTGTCAAATTATACCGCCTTCCCTGAACTATGGAGCATATTATAATGTGAGGAGCATTGTGAGCACCCCCTACAATGAACCCTGCCCTCCCCAGGCATCCACCTCACCCCTGGAAACCTGTCTCTGAGGTGGATTTGCCTAGCTTAAAGCCAGGAGAGACCAAGGTGCAGGACTTGCCTGGAGGAAAACCCACGCAGACACACAGATGAGCTTTGACAGCCTCAGGGCAAATCTTTATTTGGCAGCAAAAGCATTAAACTCGAGGGAAGGGGAGGAGGGAAGTGGGCAGAGAGGGGTGGAGAAAGCTCCAAGCACCGAATGGCTGCCTTTGGCCGGGGACCACCTCCCACCTCAGTGGTGGTGCTGGTGTTTGTGCTGGTGTTGCTGCTGGTGGTCCTCGACGTCGTGGAGGTGTTCGTGGGTGGCGATGGTCACACGGGTGATCAGCAGCATCACCTCGGAGAAGGAGATCTGCGCATCTTTGTTGATATCGAGGTCCTTCATGATTTCGTCGATGGTGGCCTTGTTTTTCACGTTCTGCAAAAGGAAGGGACAGGGCGAGGGTGAAGTCCTGTCACTCACAGCTTCCCCCAGCCTGTCTGGGACCCTCACGGGTGCCAGGTCCCCAAGAGTTGGGTGCTGCGTGTGGCTCCAGCCTCATGCCATCATCACCCGTTGCTTGGGTACAGCAATGATCCACCCGTGATGGTGAAGCAACCGGAGAGCAGCAGGTTAGTGTCAACGCAAGGACACTGTATGATGTAGAAACTGGTGAAGGCAGCTGTGTCATGTCAGCCACAAACCTCTCCTTGAGCATGTTGGGTTAAAAGCTTTACCTTCTGCCTTAGCCAAATTAGTTTGGGGGGAAAAAAAGGGCTTTTTTGGGTTGATGTTTCTGACATCATCACTCCTAGATGGCAAAGGAGCTCTTGGGCAACATGACCCTGATTTTTGCAGATAAGGTGATGAGGGTAAATACCCATCTGGGGGTTCACCAAGCCCTTAGTCTGTCTTTATGGAGCACGGTTGGAAAGCAGCAGTTGGACAGGGAGAGTCTGGGCAGAAGGTGTTGGGGAGCAGGAGACCAGAGTGGGGAGGGGGTGAACCCAACCCCTGGGGGTGTTCAGGCAACAGAGTCCAGCCCCCCTCCATCCCCATGTGGGTCAGAAGAAACCCCACTCACCCTCAGGTAGTTTGCAAGCTGCTTCTCAATCAGGAGCTTCAGCTCGTTCTTGGTCAGGGTGTCTCTGTCCCCCTCCCGTCTTGAGTACTGGTGGAAGACATCAATGATGACATTCATGGCCTTCTCCAGCTCGGAGAGCTGTTCCTGGGACTGGGGGGTCTGGAAAAGAAAAAGTGACACTGAGTAATGTCAGGAATCACAATAGATGGGGAAGGCTGATGTAAACAAGCGAGGGTCCCGTAGAGCCACCAAATTCACCCGAGATGAGGACACAGCCTGGCTTTGTTCAGTCATTCTTTCATTCTTTTTTGAGGGGAGATAAATTTGAGCCCTTTGGCTTGAGTTTTCTCTTATAGATAAGCCAAAGGAGACCAGAGAGGGGTTGCAGCCATTGGCTGCTTCTGCTCTAGGATCTGCAGCTACAGGTAATAGCTGAGAGCTGACTTTTTTGCCCCCAAAATATGCCTTCTGTAAGTCAGACGCTGTTGGAGCCAGACTCTCAAAGCAGCTGGTGGCCCTGCAAAAATCTCTGTAGAGATACAAAGATCTGATGCCCAGGATCTCCTTTGGTGGTCACACTGGGCTGTGGGGAAGTTCTTCCAGGAGGAGACACATCTCCTGGTGGGTTCCACTCGCGTGAGCCTGAGTAGAGATGGTTATCCCCTGCCAGTGACTGATGGCAGCACGTAAGGTGAGAAGGGTCCTCAAGGGTCCTTGCACCTCCGATGGCCCAGCCGGTACCTGGAAAAGAGCATGGAGACCTTACGTGCCCGAGTCACCCGTTGGACTTGCCTTGCTCATCTTGACGAAGTAGCGAGATCCACTCAGGCTGGAGCAGGGCCGGTCCCAAGTGCGGCATCTCTTATAGCCTGGCCGTCCCCCTGTGCCACGCCACCGGTTGTGAAACGCCTTTGTTTCACCCAATTCCAGTCCATCTTCATGACATACTTGTACGTTGCTTAAGGCTCCAGGGTAGTTCCTTAAAAGGGATCTCTGTGGCTTTTCCCCTCAAGGTTGATGTCACGTACTCTGCCTGCCTTGGCAGGGAGGTGGCCAGGGCATGGCCGTGTCCCCTTCACCCCCTCCACCTGGTTGTTGGGGCTGTAATTCCCTGTCAACTCTTGACAGAAGTTCATTCGCTTCAGCTTCTTTGATTTCACCTGTTTCACTCTCCTCTACAGGGGTGCCTTTTCATGCCATGAGGCAAAAGGGACCCACAGCATCGTGCCCGCACTTGCCCATTGACCCAGCCCTGCTTGGCCCCGTAGCATCCCCATCCTGGCAGACCTGGTGCATGCAAGCACTGCCATGGTCCTCTGCACCCAACAGCATCCCACCATCCTGCTGCTTTGCACAGCCCACCATGGCCAGGGTGGCCTGTGTGACACAGGCCGTGTCCCACCACTGGGGGACCATCCCCTGCCTGCAGCAAACGGCTCTACGAAAGACAAATAATACAGGGAGGGTTCCGGACCTGGAGGAGCTCCAGGAGCTTCATTACAGCTCTTCAGATGAGCTGAATGAAGGGTGGTTTCTCCCCACCCAAGATGTGCTCTAAGCTGTGGAGACCAGGCGTGGCTGAAAGGTGTATGTTTACTTTTTAGGATTGTGTCCTCGCTTTGTGGCTTCTGCTTTATTTTTTTTTCCCTCTTCTGTTTCTGTGTTGCAGAGGCTTAGAGCAGCTCAGATCGAGAGTAAAACGAGATTTTCCAGTGCTTCTTCATTAAAATGCTCTGCCTGCTGATTCAGCTGGCTTCTTTGGGGCTTTGTTTAACCTGCCAAACACGATGCTAATCTCAGACACAAAGCGGAGGTCAAAAAGGGGTTGTGGATGGGCCTGGGGCAAGCTCCAGGAGCTCCAGGTGAGCTGACTTGGGGCAGCACCCTGAGGGGAGATGCTCGGGGTTGCAGCCCTGGTCATAGAATGGTCTGAGTTGGAAGGGACCTTAAAGACTGAGTTCCAACCCCCCTGCCCTGGGCAGGGCCACCTCCCACCAGCCCAGGTTGCTCCAAGCCCCATCCAACCTGGCCTTGAACCCCTCCAGGGATGGGGCAGCCACAGCTTCTCTGGGCAACCTGGGCCAGGCTCTCACCACCCTCACACCAAAAAAGTTCTTCCTGGTCCACAGGCAGTGCCCACCCGGACTCCATCCCTCACTGGTGGGGGAGCACCATGTGTCACAAGGGGAGTGCTTTGATGCACAAAACAGCTGGAGAAGGGCCAGGGCCTTTCACAACAGGGTGTCAGGAACCATCTGCTCAGTTGCAGAATTTGGTAGCAATTTCAGGAAACCCTACATTTGGTCATTTCCCAGGTGGGGAAGAGCAAGGGTGTGGGATGGGCCGTGGGTTTCCAAAGAGGGATGGTGGCTGAACCCTCAGATGTGCCCACCAGGCCGCAGGGTTGAGAGCGCAGGCCCAGAGGAGGCCATGGAGGTGCTGGGAGGGCTGAAGGCCCTCCGCTGGGAGGGGGGGCTGAGAGAGTTGGGAGGATTCAGCCTGGAGAAGAGAAGGCTCCAGGGAGACCTTGGAGCCCCTTCCAGTCTCTAAAGGGGCTCCAGGAAAGCTGGGGGGGACTCTTGATGAGGGAGGGGAGCAATGGGATGAGGGGGAAGGGTTTTAACCTGAAAGAGGGGAGATTGAGATGAGATGTGGGACAGAACCAGGGTGGTGAGAGCCTGGCCCAGGTTGCCCCGAGAAGCTGTGGCTGCCCCATTCCTGAAGGGGTTCAAGGGCAGGTTGGAGGGGGTTTGGAGCAACCTGGTCTGGTGGGAGGTGGCACTGCCCTGAGCTGGGGTAGGGGGAGCTGGGAGGTCTTTAAGGTCCCTTCCCACTCAAATCATTCTATGCTTTGATTTTTAAATGCCAGTGCAGTCACTGAGGTGACCAGGGAGTTTAGGGTCACAGGAACAGGTGCCACCACTTTTTGCCTGTCTCTGCAGGTCTCCTCGCAGAGGGGAACCTCCCTGTCCAGCCATGCCCCTAAGTCACACAGAAGTGGCTGCAGCAAGCAGTAATTCTGGCCCCAAGGCCACCAGGATTGAGCAAGTGTCCTCTTGCTGGAGCTGCGGAGGGGAAGGAGTGGGAAGAAGGCATGGGGTGGCACGCAAGCTGCCCAATAGTCATGGCAAGGAAAAGATCTGGGGTTAGATGTGCCCTGAGGACCTGAGCCCTAGCAGGGCACCCCACGCTTGACAGTCGTTGCAAAACTCTTTCAAAATATACATTTATGGGCAAGTGGCTGGGTGATGCGGGAAGAGGGCACAGCAGGGTTTGTCACTGTGTGGTTTGTCGTGTTTCACAGCCAGTTTTAACCCAGAATCAGGACAGGACGTATGTTCTGGTTGCTGGGTGTGGTTTTATCTTGGGGAAGGCAGGGGCCGTGCTCGGAGCCCTGGCTCCTGAGCACCCTTGAGCATCACCAGACCAGCAGTGCTCCAGATGTGACCTGGCACCAGGAGCCACCACAGGAGGTGGGGCAGCCTGGAGGTTTGCCCATCCTGGAGCCGCAGGGGGAAAGGATTTCCCAGTCCTTTAGCTCAAGCCAAGACGCATGGGCGTGTGTCTCAGCCCTACCAAATGGCTACAAACTCAGCTGCTTGGCAAGGGACCACCTTGGTCCAGCCCAAAGGGAGCTGGGAGCCGGCTCTGCTGCCTGCACAGGCAGGGCTGCAGGGTGCTGGACCCTCTCCAAGCCCTCCTGGAGCTCTGGCAGGTTGTAGGGCTGGATCTGGCCATTGGACTTGCCCTTCCTGAGCGTTGTTCAAGCGTTGTTGCCACTCGTGCTGGGGCAGCTGCCTGCTCAGTCCCATGGGGTGGTGCTACCTGAGCGTTTGGTGAGGAAAAGAGCTGGATTACAATGCATTTAGTACCCAGAAAGGGTTTGTTGGTGCTGTGAGACATCTTCCAGATGACTCAGGCAGGGACAAGATCTTTGTGCCCAACCAGAGCCCGTCAGGGTTTTGGTGAGAATATTTTCACTGGTGGAATATTCCAAGAAGGAAACCATCCGGGAGTTTCCCTCTTGGCTGGGCAGCGATTCAGCAGGGTTGGGAAGGAGCACTCCGGGTGACTTGTCTGTGTGAGAAAAATCTGAAATTTGAGTTTTCATTGGGCTTTAGGGAGAAAATTTTAAGTCTCAGAATTTCCCACGGACTAGGAGCTATATATACAGAGAGGAACTTCTGTCTGTATTTTTTCCCTGGGAGCACCCCGGCTTGTTCTTGTGCTAAAGGCTGTGTTCTGCTCTGAACTGCACTTGTCATGGGTATTAATGTGCTTTTTTTCCTGCTGTGGGTGGTTCTGCCCAGAGGATGCACTTGGCACGGCTGGGGCAAGGGGGAGCTGGATGAGGATGGGAAAAACAGGAGGTGCTTCCCGGAGCTAGGCTGGCTCTGCTCTTCCCAATCCAGGCAGAAAACTTCCTCTGCAGGAGAAAAAATGCTAATCTCACTGGAATACGTTGCAGCTGAGAGTTAAAACCCTTGCAGAGCTCAAGCAGTGCCTTGTGTGCTGGTCTTCTGGCCACTAATACCCTCGTTGCCCATCAGTTCAGCCCTCTTGACTTGGACAAGACCATGAGGAATATAGCTCTTGCCCTCTCATCACATCTTGATCATAAACCGCCCCCGGCTTAATGAGTTTTGGGGGTGCTCCAATTATGGAAGCCTTTATTCCACAACCCCAGCAGGATCATGCATTCTCTGCTGCCGGTGCCCACCCTCCCCACCTGGGAGATGGACACAAAAGGCAGTGATGAGATAGGAAGGACTCGGAGAAGTTCAAGCCATGCTTTATTGTCTCACAAGCACAAGTGAGCGGAGCAGACAGAAAGCAGCCAGAGCCCAGTGTCTATAAGCAACCCCCAAGAGATTTTTCATGGGCCATACACTGCAGCTCAGTCCTTGTCTGGGGTGCAACGGTCTTCCTTGTGGATGATATGATGAATTATGGAAGCCTTTATTCCACAACCCCAGCAGGATCATGCATTCTCTGCTGCCGGTGCCCACCCTCCCCACCTGGGAGATGGACACAAAAGGCAGTGATGAGATAGGAAGGACTCGGAGAAGTTCAAGCCATGCTTTATTGTCTCACAAGCACAAGTGAGCGGAGCAGACAGAAAGCAGCCAGAGCCCAGTGTCTATAAGCAACCCCCAAGAGATTTTTCATGGGCCATACACTGCAGCTCAGTCCTTGTCTGGGGTGCAACGGTCTTCCTTGTGGATGATATGATGAGCATCATTGGTGATCTTGGCCAAGACGATGGTGAACTCCTCAAAGGTCAGGTCTTTGTCCTTATTCAGGTCCGTCTCTTTGAAGAGCTGATTCAGGTAGTCGGGACGGTTCCTGCCCTGCAATTGGGGTATAGGATGTGTTGCTATGGCTGCACACCCACTGGTGGAAACCAAACCAGCTTTATTCCTGCATGTCCTGGGAAGAGTTCGGAAGCTACAGGATCATTGTGACCCTCTCCTACCTTCCAGTTAGCCCCTAATTAAAACCCTAGATGGACAGGCTCTTGTCCCAAGCCCCTTTGGGCTGTTCCATACTCCTGCTGTGGCAAGAGCAGTAGTTCCCACAGCATATGCTGTCTCATCACAGAAATCCACCCCATGGACCACAGCCCTTGGTGGGGACTGTGCCCCATTTCCCCAGGAGCATCCCTGAAGGCAACCTCAGCCTCATCCCCACCACAACTCCATGAGGAGAACATCCCTCCTGGTAGAACAATGCAGCTCGTGTGGCACTCACGCAAGCTTGGAGGAAGGTCGGTGCCTGCTCGGTCAGCAGTGTCTTGAATTCATTGAAGTTGAGGGAGTCAAAGTTGCCCTCACGGGTGCTGTAACGATGGTAGACATCCACGATTTTTTCCAGAGACTTCTCCAGTGTGCATTTTTCAGGGAACTCCCGAGTCCCATGACGGGCAGCTGCGGTCTCGGTGCCTGCGGACATGGCTGAGCTCCTGAGGTACCTGCAGAAACTGTGTGGAGAAACCTCACAGCCATGAGATGCATCAAAAAACAGGTACCTCACACCACGCTCTTGGCCCCCAAGTTGGGCTGCACCTTCACCTAGCAGCAGATCTTACCAGGAGCCTCGTCTTGTTGATGCTGAGCAAGACACTGGAGCCCAGGAATATTGCCATTTTATGGCATTGCCCAACCAACCTCCAATTTTAGCTTTGTCCAAGAAGCGCCTTGTTTTTACTGACCTGGAGGCATTTGTCAGGCAAATTAAACCCATCAAGCTGGTGTCACGTATCTGTACTGTGCCCACCAACAGCAAGGGTGACTTTAAGGCAGGGAGCACAGTCCAGGTCCGGGCTCCATTGCAACCTCTGCCTGACCTCCTTCTCCTCCCATTATGAATCTCCCTCCCCTTTTTGGGCTGCAAACCATTTTCACTGCAGACACTGAGCACCGAGACAGTGCCACTGTGCAGGTGACAGCCCTAAAGGGCACTCTCCCTACCAGTGGAAGCGGTGACACCTGCACTAAAGATGGCCCAGAAATGCCAGAATCTCCCTCCCCTTTTTGGGCTGCAAACCCTTTTCACTGCAGACACTGAGCACCGAGACCCTGCTGAGTGCCACTGTGCAGGTGACAACCCTAAAGGGCACTCTCCCTACCAGTGGAAGCGGTGACACCTGCACTAAAGATGGCCCAGAAATGCCATTAATTCACACTTGTAGCCAAAATCAGCCTCCCACCCTTCCCCTGAGCAGAAAGCATCCCCCTGGGGTAAAGCAGGGTGGTCCTCGTCCCTTCTCTTATTTCCTGCAAGTACCATTGCAGTGTTACTTACCCTGGTCTCCAAGAAGGGTTTGCAGAGGATGGGTATGGTGCAGTGATCCAAGAGCCCGGGCAGACCTTTTATACACCTCTGAGGTCCTCTTTCATCAGAGGCGATGACACACCTGCTGCAAGCAACAGCTTGAGTTAGCATTTCCCATACCTGGAAATTACGAGGTGGGAACTCCTGAACCCCTCCCCGCTCATACTTCTGCACATAGTTCCTGGTTGCACCCACCAGACTTTGGAAATGCTGTCCTTCCACCCCACCGTCACCTCCCACTGGGGCTGAGGTGCCTTTTGCTGGGCAAAGATTGGGAACAACACTGCATGTACCATCACACCTCAGCGTGGGCATGAAGGGCAAGTCCATCTTGGCATACCTTGCCAAAACTTTGCCAGTTTTGGAACGTGTTGACAATTTTGGGCCCTCTCATGCCCATGTAAAGAAAGATGGGCTGTTTCAGAGAGATGTTTGTCCCTTGATTCTTTTAATGTCATCTCTCTGTTTTCTGCGACACTAGCTGGTTGAACACGTGCAAAGATGAAGGCAGCATCTTCCTTTTAATAAATGGTTTTCCAGAGTATTTTTCGTTACTTTCTGCTTTCACATCACTTGTACCAGATCTTTTCTCTTGCTCCAGAAACTTTGTGGAGGAAACTGGCCATAAAACAAGAAGAAAATCAGAGCTCGTGCTCTCTACTGGCTGGAGCATCAACCAGCAAGAGTTTTGCAACTGTCACCTCTGTGCCACCCATCTTGCGTTAGCACAACAGGTACCAGAAGAATGAAGAAACTTAAAATGATACAAAAATAAGACAATGGGTTCCAGGAAGAGGGTAAGAACAGAAAAACAAAAGGGTAACCATTCCTGTTTGAGGATGCTTCTTGCGTGTCCCGGGGGCACTATCAAGAACTGTTGCATGAGTTTTATTCTGGTATCCCTGACTCACTTCGGTGCTGGTTTTTTTATTCTGTTGTTTTCCTACTCCGCTCATTAGGGACTGCCGAGAATCCAAAATTGCATCCTCATTCCCCAGCTGGTCTTGCAAAGCATCCGCCAAGGCTGGGGTTTGCCCCGTGCATTTACGTAGTCCCCACGCAGACAGACCACGGGGCTCTGAATTCCCACTTTTTTTCCCCATCCGTGTTCCCCAAAACTTGTGGGAGACACATAACTCATGATGTCTATCCCTGGGAGGGGAGCGATGCCTGAGTGACACCCGGGTGCCCTGGCAGACTGGGAGTAACGTCGGTGTCTGGGGGACAAGGGCTGCACCCTGATGACAGTTTGTGGAGCTGGAGAGCCATCACCCGTGTCACTGAGTGCCAATAACCCCCACAACAGCCCCACGTTTTCTTGTGCGGCCGGGTTTGACGTGGGACGGGCGTCTGGTTTCAGCTGATGTTGGAAATGCCAGAGCCTCCTGAGCCTGAGGGTTTCCCACTCCATGCACAGTCACAGGAGCTCTTTTTTGCCCATGTATCTCCTTTGTCAGAAGCCTGAAGCGGCTTCTAAATGTGCTGTGACCTGGGGGGCTGTTACCCTGTGGTGATAAACATCCAACCTCATTGTGCAGAGATAACACCAGCTCTCTCCAGAGCCCCTCAGCCTGGTTATTGGCTGTGTTGGGGCTTGCAAGACAAGCGTTGGTTGCTTTGCAGGTTGTAAAAGGATTGTGCCCACCCCCAGGATGCTGCACCCCCACCTCCAGAGCTGGGTCTTCGATGGTGTACCCCACCATCATCTGAGGAGAAGGGTGTTGGGGTCCATCACACGATGACGGTGCCCTGGTCTGAGTGACACAGGACTAATTTATCTCCTAATGCTTGGCAGAAGTGCACTTTTAGAAGACACCAGTGTCTGAATTTGTGAAAATATTTACTTTACAGCCAGCTCTGGGGGGCGGGTTTCAAGGTCTAGGTGTTTTCAAGCTTCCCAGGTGTAGGGACAAGGAAGAGCGAGACCCGGGCACTTGACCCAAGGGGCCAAAAGTGTTATTTCGTACCAGGAAAGGCACATTCAACAGAAATTAGAACCTTTGCTGAGGAGTTCTCTCTCTGAGAACTCCGTGCTCCAGTGCTGGAGCTCTGAGTGCTTCCTTCCTCCCAAAACCATCCTCCAAGGGGGACGCTTGCAGGGTCCCACGTTTGCTGTCCCTGCTGGGAGTACAATGGATTCCTGTGGTGGAAAGGGCTGGGGATAATCCTTGTGTATTTTACATTGGTATCGGGATCAATACTAGTTCTTTAGTGTTATGAATGTTAGTTATCTAGTCTTATTTATTATTTAGTCTTGTTCTATTAAATCTCTTTATATTTCAGCCCTTGGGTTTCCTCGTTTTATTCCAATTCCCCTTCCTGGGTGGAGAAGGGTCATCGTGTGAGAGAATAATTGCCTAAATGACAGTAAATTGACGTGGGTTCCTCAAATCATAACAGCAGGGAACCCGTTGAGCCTTGGGAAGGCAGTGGGATCATATCGATGTCTGACATGCTTCAGGATGGGGATCCCACCAGCCTGAGGGGACCCAGCAGCAATGGGTTGTCCCAGCTCTGCAGGGACCAAGGTCCCTCCATCCCACCTTCCCTTTCCCATGGCTTCTCCAGTTCAATCTGCATTTAAGTCCCTCAGCCATGAGCTGGGTGCACATTGCGTCCTCCCTGGAGACAACAGGACAAGTCATACGGATGCATTTGGTGCTTGAAGAAATACATTTTATTTCATTGTCATAGGCAGAAGCAGGTGACAAAGTTTCGGTTACAGGTTTTTCTGTGCTTTGAGGTGACAAAGGGAAGGGATGATGCTGCTGGAGGAGCACAATCCCATGGGCACAGTCACCCTGGGAACCACTTCAATTCCTGGGACCGTGGCTGTGGTCGTGGCCGTGATCGTGGCCGTGAGGGTGGTGGGACTTATTATGGGCATCAATGACTACAAGATTCAGCGTGGTCAGGAACTCGGTGAACTTCAGGCGACCATCCCGGTTGCGGTCAGCTTTCTTGAAGAGGTTGGCTATGTAGTCGTCAACAGGCGTATTAGGCTGCAGCAAGACAAACATGGAAAAGAGTCAGCCTGAAGAAGCCAACCCACCACGACACCATGAGTCTCACCCAGCAAGGAGCTGTGTGGATTCAGAAAAACCCTAGAAAATCCCTCTCTCCCCTTTGGGAGGCTCTTGGCAACCGCCATGGCCCAAGGAGGCCACCACTCCTGCGAGCTCTTGCCAGTGATAGGAGAATTGGGCCACATTTGGCTCTTACCGGGCTGGTGTTGTGGAGGAAGGGCTTGGCATTCTTCTTCAGCAGCTCCGAGAACTCATCCTTGGACAGGTAGTCATCAATGGGCTTCTTCACAGCATACTGGTGGTAGATGTTGATGATGCACTCCAAGGCAAGCTCCAGGTCGGTTTTCATCTTGCTGGGGAGGGACAGGCAGCAAAACGTTAAATCCCCTTGGAGGAAGAGGACTCCCCTCTCCTCCATGAACCCCAACCAGGCTCTGGTTGCCCAGCAGGGTCAGGCTCACCCCGGTGGCACCTCTAGCAGCACAAAGCCTGAAGCCACCACTTGGGCAAGGACCTACTTACCTATGAGCGGTGATGGAGCTGACTTCTGCAGAAGATGGTGCACGGGAGGAGAGGAACGGGCAGGAGCAGTGACTGCACCGTGGAGGTGAGGTCTCTTTTATACTCTTCCAGAGCTACGATTCAGTGACACCCTCAAATTTTCTTCGGGGCAATAACCCCAGAAATTGTGCAAGGCTTCGCAGCACGCCCAGGTGGCGATTTCTTGCCTGACTCCAGGAACTGGCTGCTCCCACTGTTAACGAGGGAGGGGACGCACCAAACTCGTTGGGGCAAAACACGGAAACATCGAAAAGGATGTTTTGAGGGAGCCAGCACAGTGGGTCGGTGACTGTGCAGGGGCTTTCCCAGGAGCCAGGACATTCCTGCAGACTTTGGAGGTCTTTGCTGAGATGATGGAGGAGGAATTTTCCTGGATGACAAGAAAGGTGCTGGGTGAGGGTCTCCAGTAGGATGATGCCATTTTTTCCCCACGGGAGACCTGGTTCATCTGCCTCGATGCTGTTGAATCTGGGTGGAGGTGTGGGGTCTGCGCCCAACACCCTGCACGGGTTCTGGGGGACGGCCAACGCATTCCACCCCAAAAGCCACCTCTCCAAAATCACGAGCCGCCTTCCTCCTGAATCATTTCTCAACAGGGAACCAAGACAGACATGACAAATTGGGGCACGTCAGCATGACGGAAACCTGTCCACCAGTCTGAGGAGGTGGCTTTTCCCGACAGCCGTAACTGCCTGATGATGACTGAGGGCATTGGCAATCATTGCCAATTGCTGGAAGTTGTGGGGACACTGCCACTTACGGTGAACACCCCATGGTGTTCCCAGTTCCTGGAATGGGTTGTTAAATCCCACATGTCCAGGGGGAAAGATGCTCTGAGGGGGGACTGGTGAGGAGCTTGTGGCCCGGGATGCCCAAACTCTTCAGCTCAAGTCCATCCTTGGTGGGACGGGCAAAGCAAAAAGTCCATGGTAGCCATTAAGGCTTTCAGGAGACGGGAAAGACAACGGTGATGAAACATCTTCCCATCAGCCTCCTAATCCAGGAGGATGAGGAACCTGTGCCAGAAAAAGCCTAAATTGCAAAAGAGTGAAACAAAGGGACAGGTTGTGTGCAGGAGGGTGTGGTGGGTTGACCCTGGCTGGGTGCCTGGTGCCCACCAAAGCCACCGTTACTCCCCTCCTCAGCTGGATGAGGGACAGAAAGCATAACAAAAGGTTCCTGGGTCAAGATACAGACAGGGAGGTCACTCAGCAATTACCGTCATGGGCAGAACACTCACCTTGGGGAAATTGGTTTCATTTATTGCCAATCAAATCAGATTAGGATAATGAGAAATAGAACCCAACCTTATAAACAACTTAGCCCACCACTCCCTTCTACCCGGGCTCAACTTCACTTCGGATTTTTCTACATCCAAGCGATGCAGGAAGATGGGGAATGGGGGTCGTAGTTGGTTCATCACACATTGTCTCTGTCGCTCTTTCCTCCTCAGGGGAGGAATCTTTGTACTCTTCTTCTTCAGCGTGGGCTTTTCTCTCCACAGGGCCACAGGTCCTGCCAGGAGCCTGCTCCAACGTGGGCTTCTCATGGAGTCACAACCTCCTTCATGCATCCTCCTGCTCCACTGTGGGCCTCCATGGGCTGCAGGGGGATATCTGCTCCACTGTGGGCCTCCATGGGCTGCAGGGGGATATCTGCTCCACTGTGGGCCTCCATGGGCTGCAGGGTGATATCTGCTCCACCGTGGACCTCCATGGGCTGCAGTGAGACAACCTGCCTCATCACAGTCTGGAGGGGAATCTCTGCTCTGGCATCTGAAACAGCTCCTCCCCTCCTTCTTCACTGACCCTGATGTCACATATTCTCCCTCCTCTCTTCATCTGCACTTGTGCAAGGGTGTTTTTTTTCCCCTTCTTAAATACATATTCTCCCTCCTCTCTTCATCTGCACTTGGTGCAAGGGGTTTTTTTTCCCCTTCTTAAATATGTTATGACAAAGATGCTACCACCATCGCTGATGGGGGTCAGCCTTGGCCAGGGGAGGGTCCACTGTGGAGCCTGGCTGGCATGGACTCTGACAGATATGGGGGAACCTTCCAGCAGCTTAGAATCATAGAATCATAGAATCATTGAGGTTGGAAGAGACCCTTGGGATCATCGAGTCCAACCATCTCCCCTACTCTCCAAAGTCCTCCCCTACACCATGTCCCTCAGCACTGCATCTAAACAGCCCTTAAACACAGCCAGGGATGGGGACTCCACCCCCTCCCTGGGCAGCCTGTTCCAACGCCCGACCACTCTTTGGGTGAAAAATTCCTTCCTAATGTTCAATCTAAACCTCCCCTGTTGGAGCTTGAAGCCGTTCCCTCTCGTTCTATTGTTCTATTCTCACAGAAGCCACCCCTGTAGCCCCCCGCTACCACAACCTTGCCAGGTAAACCCAACACAGAGGGAGATGGGTGCGTTCCTCCCCAGGCTGAGCAATGGGACACTGGTGCGGTGTGGGTGAGAGGTGGCAGGACACACGTGAGGAGGTGTGAAGGGTTGTGCCACGTGTGGGGAGGCGGGAGGAGAGACGCACATGGGCCATGGGACAGGAAAGAAGGGACAGGCGTGTGCCGTGGGTCCTCACACTGTCATTTGCTGCCCAACCTGCCACGGAAGCCACGCACCAGCAGCTCTGGGCACATGCCCTGCCCTGGGGCCTGGCCACCATGCCATGGCAACCCACGCTCTGGTGCAAGAGCCGCCGGGGGGTGTTGGTATCTGCTCTGTGGCCACGGGGCTGGGAGTGTTGGTGCCCCAGGGATGGAGCCGGTACAACCCCGAGGGCCGGGCGGTGATGGGGTGTGGACGGATGCAGGAGGGCTGGGATGCCTGTTGAGCAGCATCATGCCAGCTTCAAATATTCACAGATGGAGCCCAAAAAGGGCCACCAATGAATCATAGAATCATAGAATCATAGAATCATAGAATCATAGAATCATAGAATCATTGAGGTTGGAAGAGACCCTTGGGATCATCGAGTCCAACCATCTCCCCTACTCTACAAAGTCCTCCCCTACACCATGTCCCTCAGCACCGCATCTAAACGTCCCTTAAACACATCCAGGGACGGTGACTCCACCCCCTCCCTGGGCAGCCTGTTCCAACGCCCGACCACTCTTTCAGTGAAAAATTCCTTCCTAATGTTCAATCTAAACCTCCCCTGTTGGAGCTTGAAGCCGTTCCCTCTCGTTCTATTGTTAATTACCTGTGAGAAGAGACCAGCTTTCACCTCCCTCTGGGGTGCGGTCACACTCTCGAGTGTTCCACTGAGCCTGTAGGGATGTATGTATTTTTTTTTTTCAATTTTTTTTCCCTAATATTGATGCTCAAGTGAGCATTGGATCTCACAAGAAGCTGGAGTTCATGGAACGAGCCCTACGCCCTCCGTTTGGGGGAGCAGGGGGATGAGCTTCAACCCCCAGCTCCTGGCAAACCAGCCTTTGTGAAGCTGAGGGTGCAGAGCCTGGGTGGGACCCCCGGCAGGAATCCTCCTGGATTCCTGGCAGAGCATCACCAGCACCCACCAGGGTCCATGTGGGGGACAGGAGCACCAGGAGCAGCCCCTCCCCGAGTCCCTCCCTCCCACCCCCAACAGGAGAAAAACCGGTGCCATCCATCAGGTTTTAATTTATTTAAAGTTCACAAACAGCCAGTCACACAGGAAAAAAAAAACTTTAGGAAATCACAAAGAACTTACTGAAAGGTCCTTACAAAAGGACTCCAAAAGGTCCCTGGGGACCACCCCCCGCCCCAGCTGGCTCAGGAATTTTGCTTCCCTCCCTCCCACCCCCAACAGGAGAAAAACCGGTGCCATCCATCAGGTTTTAATTTATTTAAAGTTCACAAACAGCCAGACACACAGGAAAAAAAACTTTAGGAAATCACAAAGAACTTACTGAAAGGTCCTTACAAAAGGACTCCAAAAGGTCCCTGGGGACTTCCCCTCCCCCTGGCTGGCTCAGGAATTTTGCTTCTCTTCAGTGTACGGCTGTAGATCATGGCCCAGATCCCCAGGAAGGGGACATCCTCCTAGAAATTCACTTCCTCATCTTGGTTATGGTCCAGGTCCAGTCCTGGAGGAGGGGGAGCTTGTGGGATGGAGCCCCAGAGAGCGGCCAGGAGCTGGTCCAGCCTTTGGGGGGAGGAGTGGGGACCACCCAGGACATTGCTCCCACTCCACCCTGAGGGATGCTCCTCAACCCTCCAGCTTGCCCTGGTGCCAGCAGGGCAGGGGGTGGGCAAAGCCCCTCCAGACCCAGCTCAGTCTGGCCCCATGTTGTGGGGGGGGGAGGGCTCTGAGCATCTGCAACATCATCTGCTGGGGCTGGTGACTGCAGGATGAGTCATGGTGGCACCCAGCCACATCCACACGCAGCCCCAGGGCTGGCAGAGGGGACTTCCTTGATGGGGAGGGGGGGGACACAAAGGAAAATCTTCATGGCATCTCCACTCGCTGGTGCCCCAGGGCTGGCAGAGGGGACATCCTTGGGGTGGGGAGGGACAAAGGGAAGCCTTCATGGCATCGCCTCCGGGATCAGCCCTGTGACGACTGATGAAGGTCCAGCCCCCAGCAGGGTGAGGAGGGGGGGATGGACATCCACATCTGCAAAGGGGATGCTGCACATCTGGAGCCCGGCAAGCAAGCCCAGGTTGGCCCCCCAGATGTTGAGGGGTGGGGTGGGGAGGGAGAGCAGGAGAGGCTGCGGAGCGGGGAAGGGAGGGCTGTGGCTACGGGGCTCCTCGGATTTATAGCCCTGGGCTGAGTCCTCCCACAGCAGTGGCCCGGGGGGGGGGCAGATGGGGGTATTGGGGGGGGACATCACTCCTCCACACTCCATAACCCCTCCCCGAGCAGGAATGCAACAGAAACCCCAGGAATCACTTGGGGTGGGGAAGGGACGAGGGTCCTGGGTGACTTCCCAACACGGGTGGTCCTACCCCACAGGGGAGGGGAGGCGGGGGCAGATGCTGACCCCACACCAGCTCAATAATTATGATTTTAAAAAAAAAAAGAGTTTATTGTTATCACGGCGCCGGCTGGAGGCATTAATGCCTGCGAAAGCTCCTGCCTTGCCCTGGATGGCTTCTCGTGGCCACGGGGCAGGGTGTTGCCGGCCGCTGACTCACTAACGTGGCCGGCGGGGACCGGATCAGCCCCCGTGGGCGTTTTACGAGGGCTCACGTTGCTGCAACAGAGCAAATTCCAGCTGGAAAACGTTCCTTGCTCTCGCTCGTTATCCCATCCCAGCAACGGGAACGCGGAAGGGAAAAGGGGGTCTTTCCCCACCCCGTCTCCAGGGCAAGAAAGCGCAGCCAGCCCGTCGCAAAGCAGGAGAAAGACTTTTCTTTTAAAATAACGTTTATTGGAAGAGCATCACGAGGGCGGTGGGAGGGAGGTGGGGACGGGGACGCAGCCCCGGGGCAGGCAGCCCCTGCTCACTTCCTACGGGGCATCTTGTCGGGGTAGTCCTGGAAGAATTCATTGCACATCATGGCCATGCAGGCCAGGAAGGTGACGTACTCTTGGAAATCCACCTCGTTGTCGCTGTTGCAGTCCAGGTGGGACATGAGCTGCTGTAAGCTGGCCTCGCTGCTTTGGCTCTGCCCGGGGGCAAGATTTTGGGGGTTAAAATGGGGGTTTTGCATCAAGGGCCACATCCCCCAGTCCCAGCGTCGCCCTTGGGACGTGGCACCCCCTGCCCCACACTTACGCTGAAGCTGGGCAGCTCCTTCGTGAGCAGGTCCTTGAGCTCCTGCTTGCTGAGCTTGTACTTGTCTCCCTCCTTGCCCGAGTACTTGTGGAAGGTGGCGACCATCACGGCCAGCGCTTGCTCCAGGGGACACGCCATGGGGGATGCCAACGAGCCTGGAGGCACAAGGGGGTGAGAACAGAGTCCAGCGTCCCCAGATACCACCACACCGGGGGGGCTGATGGTCTCCCCCAGCCCCCCAGACAGTGCAGGCTGCCCCCCTGCCCCACTCCTGGCCACACATCAGGATGCACCACCACTTTTTCCTTAATTTCACCCTCCCACAAGGAGCCAGGCTGAGCATTGCCGTCTAATACTGATGCTGAGCAACCCCCCCATGATGGAAGGGAGAACTTGGGGGGAGACAGCAGCCCCCTCCTGCCCAAATTGGGCAGGGAAAGAGCACATGGGCTTTTCCAGCCCCCCACAAGATGAGATACATCCTTCAAGCCCGGCTCACTCCACCGGGACCCTCATGCTGGGCAACCTGGTCTGGTGGGAGGTGTCTTTGCCCAGAGCAGGGGGGTGGAATGAGATGATCTTTAAGGTCACTTCCAACCCAAACCACGATTCTATAATTCTATGCTGAACCCCAGGGGAAAAACCTTCAGGGGGAGGAAGGGGATGGGGGACCCCACTGCGGGAGGGGGCAGCTGCACCACGGGCAACATCTGGAGAGCATCTGGAGAGCAGGTCGAGGGGGAAGGGAGCCTTGTAGGGGGAAAAAAAATAAAAGCACAACTCACCGAGAGCTGAACTGAAGCAACGGAGGACGGGCAGGGCGGGAGGCGAGTCGGAGTCAAGCCCAGGCATTTATAGCCCTGCCTGGGCCACCTCCCTCCCTCCCCCCGGGTGGGGAGGCACCGACGCGGATCCAGCGTCTGTCCCGACATTGGTTGGCAAAGGAAGAGAGGAAACCCCAGGAACAGCCCCGATCCCCCCAAACCCTCCTTCTCCCGCACTGCCAAGGGGGCTGGGTAGGGTTAGAAAGAGGGAAAAGTGTCCCCAGGGGCTGGATGGGGACCCCCTGTTGGAGGAGAATCCCCAGGGATAAGGGGATGAAGCGAGGGCGGGCGATGCCAAGACGGTTTTTTGGCAGCGACCCCAGGAATGGCTGAAGCCACACAAACCCAAGCGGGGTTTGTCCAGGGTTTTGTTGTTGTTGTGCTGGGCTTTGGAAAAGGGTTGGGTTTTTTTTTTTTTTTCTGTTTTTAACTCGACTCTGAGCGATTTCTGTTCCCTAACTGCGAGGGCAGCGCGTCACAACGCCCCGTTGTGTAACGGAGCACTATTTTGGTGTCTGCGTGTCCCAGGCACGTGTCTGGGATCTTTGAGGGGGAAAGCCAGGAGCCAGCAATTTGCAACCTCCCCCCACCGTGGTGTAAGAGCTGACAAACACCCCGAGTGTCCCCCCATGTCCCCAGGCCTGGTTGAGCCCCCCTGGGACAAAGGTACCCGCCGCTGCGGGGACCAGAGTGACAAAACCCAGGGGATGAAACCCCTCTGTCATCTCCAGGTTGCTCTGATCCCCCAGCAGGATGTGAAACAGCATCTCCTCAAGTCAGGGGTTTCTTTAAGGATGATTCTGGCCCCAAAAAAAAACCCCAAGCCTGAACCTCATCTCCCCGTTAGCAAGTGAAAACTGGTGTAAATTAGTGGGAGGGGGCAGAAGCCCCTGTGGGCTCTTATAAAGACTCTGGGAGGGAGAAGAGCAAAGTTTGGAGCTGCTGGAAGGACTTGGGGGCTTGGTGAGGACCTGGGGGGCTCAGGGAGGGGCTCTGCCAGGGATCTGCTCTGCCGTGCAACGATGCAGAGGTTTTTGTCAGGGCTTTTTTGGATCTGGGGTGGTTTCTGTGGAGTTCTGTAGCTGCTGGGAAAAGCTGGAGAGCAGCTGCAGCACCTTCTGCGAACCAGCCCGGACCTGCTGGGAGCTGTGGTGAGCTACAGGGAGGTGGAGGGGGGGTGAGCCCAGTGCTTCCCAACCGGCATCACAGGCTGATGCACCCAGGAAAATGCCACTTTTCTGCAGCCCCAAGGCTCTGTGTAAACCTGGGGGGTGCTCAGGTTGACCTTCTCCAATGAGGTCCCCCACCACGGCCTTCCCCACATCCCAAGGGGACTAAGGCTCCCCTCCAAACATGGTTCTTCTCTGGGGGAACTGAGGACACGCTCTGGCTTTTGTGCTTTGCACAAACTTGCATCTGACCGTCCGGTTCCTCCAGACCAGCTTTCTCTCCCCAAACCCAACGTGTTGCCCAAGGGCAGCTTGTGCCAACCTACGAGCTGAGCTGGGCTCAGGGAGTCTGGTGTATTTTTTGAGCCAAATATGCGCTGAAGCCCTTCCTGAGCCAGCAAGGATGGTTTGCAGCCAGGGGGGTGTCCGAGTTCGTTGCTCGGAGGTGGCCCTGAGCTGTTTTGCTGAGGCTTTTCTGAAGGGGAAAAATAAATAAATAAATAAATTTTATAAATGCCTCCCGGGGCTGAGTCGCAGAGTGGAAAATCCCACTGAGCTGGAGGAGGAAGACATGAGTCACCCCAGCTGCCCGCGACACCTACGGCACACAAAAACCTGCCGATGCACACCCAGGCTTTGTCAAAGCTTTTATTGAAAGCCCCGCGGCGATGCCATGGGCAATGGGGCAGGGGGGAGGAAAAGTTGGGGGGGGGTCACTTCTTGCGGGGCTGCTTGGCCGGGCCGTCCTTGAAGAACTCATTGAAGCCCATGGTGATGCAGGCCAGGAAGCAGGCGTACTCCTTGAAGTCCACCTCGCTGTCCTTGTTGTGGTCCAGGTCGTTCATGAGCCTCTTGAACTCCACCTCGTCCATTTGCTTCTGCGACAGGAGGAGAGCAAGTTGGGGGTAAGCAGTTTTGGGGTGCACGGAGGGGCTTCTCCATCCAGCCCCATGGTGTGGAAGGATGGAAAAAGCCTGGGCTTCCCTCCCCCTGCCTCGAAGGAGAGTTTTCTCTTTGCTGTTTGGAAGGGGGTGGCCTTTAGAAATGCAGGTGGCTTTGGCGTGACCTGGGGCGTGCTGGCACGGCTATGCAGCTATGCCTCTCAGTTACGAGGAAGTGTCCTTGTTGTGGTCCAGGTCGTTCATGAGCCTCTTGAACTCCACCTCGTCCATTTGCTTCTGCGACAGGAGGAGAGCAAGTTGGGGGTAAGCAGTTTTGGGGTGCACGGAGGGGCTTCTCCATCCAGCCCCATGGTGTGGAAGGATGGAAAAAGCCTGGGCTTCCCTCCCCCTGCCTCGAAGGAGAGTTTTCTCTTTGCTGTTTGGAAGGGGGTGGCCTTTAGAAATGCAGGTGGCTTTGGCGTGACCTGGGGCGTGCTGGCACGGCTATGCAGCTATGCCTCTCAGTTACGAGGAAGTTGGGCTAAAAAGAAGAAAAAAAAAAAAATGTCTCCTCCCAGTTTAAACCACAAGCCAGAAGAGCGAAGTGAAGGTTAAACAAAAAAAAAAAAAATCTTTTAAAAAAAAAAAAAAAAGAAAGAAATGGAAGGACTGTTTTCTTTGCCAATCAAAATATTTCTGTGGGTGTAAGAAAGTCAAGTTTCCTTTTGCTGTGAGCACAGTCGACACAGTCGAGCTTGGGTCCTCCTGGCCTTGTCCCTCCTGTCCCTCCTTCTCTCCATGGCCTGCCCTAGAGGTCTCAGCTTGTCCCAAGTTGTCCACGCTTTGGGGAATTCCAGAGACCACCTCATCTCAACCCGCTTTGCACCAGAAAAAACCCAGGCTGGTTGACTTCTGCCACCATGGTGTCTCCCACCCGCGCCTTGAGGACCTCCAAGGGACGTGTCCCCGTGGCCACTTACGCTCCCGAAGATGGGCAGCTCCTTGTTGAGCAGGTCCTTGAGCTCCGCCTTGCTGAGCTTGTACTTGTCCCCTTCCTTCCCCGAGTACTTGTGGAAGGTGGTGACCATCACGGCCAGCGCCTGCTCCAGGGGATACGCCATGGCCACCTTCTCCAGCACCTGGAGGGTAGAGCACCCGGGGATGGGGTCAGGGCAGGCTTGGAGGTGGCAACGGGGGGGTCCGTCTCCCACCACCCTGCCCAAATTGGTCCAAATTGGGGGGAGAAGCTGCACGATGAGGGATGTGGGAGGATGGGGAGCAGGGACTCACCGGGGTGGACGCAGATCAGGCAGGAGCCAGGAGCTGGGGTGCTGTGGCCAGGGCACGATGGGCATTTATAGCCCAACCCCGGGTAGCCCCCTCGCCCCCAGGCTTTCCCAGCAGCAGGTGGTTTCGCCCGCACCTCATTTTTGCCTAACGAGCTGTATGATCCCATTAGCGGGGGGTAAGCGGGTTTGGGTGCTACTGGGAGGAGCTGCCAGCTCCTACTGGGGAGTCTGGGGACCCAGGGACCAGCCAAGGGATGGGTGCAGGGACTGGGAAGGACAGGGACATCCCTTGGGGCTCCCTGTGGAAAGATGGTCACCAACCCATACCCCCCCCAAGCCCCCACATCGCCAGCTTTCTGGGTGGCCCGGGAACCCCCAAGGCAAATGGTCCCCACTTCTCCCATCCCAGTGGCCCCAGTGCAAAGGAACAGGCTCCGTGGTGGGACTGGGGAGGTGACAGCAGTTTTAGTCAAGCTTTAATTCAAGCTATGGGGTAGGGCTTGATGGTGGCTGGCAGGGCCATGAGCCTTGGCACGGAAGTCGCTACAGAAGCAGCCCAGGAGGACCACCATGAGACTTCTTGAAGGCCATCATGTTGTCCTTGTCCTCCAGGTCCTTCGTCAGCACCCAGAAGGTGTGCTCATCCAGTTGTTCCCGGCACAGAGCATCAGCAGGGGACAAGGATGGTGTTCACCAACCATGGCACAGGTAGGCATCAACCGCAATGGATGGTTTTGGCAGAGGGGGGGACCCATCTGGGAGGAACAAGCCCTTCCCCGAACCCCACATCTGTCCCAGTGGTGGGGAGAGAGGTGAGGATGCTGGTGGGGCTCAGTCCTGGGTGTCCCCATGCTCAGCCCCATGAAGCACTCGTGGAAGGTGGCAATGCAGGAGGCCAGGGCTTCCTCCAGGGTGGTGACCATCTTGGCAGGGGGCTGCTCCAGGGGTAGGACACCTGGCTTTTCCCTTCAAACCCTCAGTTGCCACCCACCCATGAGGTAAATCCTCATCTGGTGAAACTCTGGGTGTCCTGACCTCGAGCATCTCAAAGACAGCCAACCTTTGAAGACAACCAACCTTTCCATCTCTGGTGGCTGCACAGGAAACGTGTCTTCCTTCTCCCAGAGAGGTGGTGGCTGGAGAGGACCATGGGGCAACATATTTGGGGCATTTTTCTGAAATCTACCGAACCTTGCGCCACGTGGGACCTGGAGGCTGGTGCAGCACCAGGGCTGGGTGAGCTGGGTGCCCGGAGCTAATCCCACCGGGGACATGAGGACCAGAGCGTGGGTCTGAGCCCCCTAAACTGGAGCCTGGCAGCCCCCTCCCCATGTTGTCCCCCTCCCCACCTGCCCTATGGTGCGATGCAAAGTGCCCCAGGGATCTCCAGGAGGAACAGGGGCACAGAAACCACCCCCTGCCCACACTGATGCCCCCACAACGCTCCCTCTGCCATGACAGACCCCTGAACACTGGTTCAGGAGCCCCTCCTGTGCCCACCCCCTGGGTTCCCCATGCCCCCCAGTTTGCTCCCAGCAGCCCCAGGGTGGGAAATAATGTGATTATTTCATGGGCATGGGGGGATACAACTGCTCAGATGCCCAGGTCCTGGGGGAAAATGGGTGCGAGGTGGGGGATCACGGAATGGTTTGGGTGGGAAAGGACCTTAACCCCCACACCGCTCCCTCTGACATGACAGACCCCTGAACACTGGTTCAGGAGCCCCTCCTGTGCCCACCCCCTGGGTTCCCCATGCCCCCCAGTTTGCTCCCAGCAGCCCCAGGGTGGGAAATAATGTGATTATTTCATGGGCATGGGGGGATACAACTGCTCAGATGCCCAGGTCCTGGGGGGAAATGGGTGCGAGGTGGGGGATCACAGAATGGTTTGGGTGGGAAAGGACCTTAAGGACCACCTCATTCCTCCCCTCACCCTGCCCTGGGCAGGGACACCTCCCACCAGACCAGGTTGCTCCAAGCTCTTCCAACCTGGGTGAGGAACCCCTAGGATGGGGTGGGATGGGATGGGTGAGGGACCCATGGGGTGGGATGGGATGGGTGAGGGACCCATGGGATGGGATTATGCATTTTTTTCCCTGCACTGCAGCCAATCTGCATCTAGAAATGAGACGGTGGGGGCTGGTTGCCCCTCACCCTGAGGGTCCCTTCTGGAAAGACACCCCCACTCGCCCCAAGAGTCTACCCCGGATCCCTCCGGATCGGCGGGATCCCGTGCGAGCCGACGGGTGCTGGGCCCAGCCAAGCCCCATAAACAAGGGGGGGTGAGTCACGGGCCCTGCCCTCGCCCCAGAGGGATTCCTCCACCATGACTCAGCCACAGCCCTGCCCAGCTGCAAACGCCTCCCACGGGGGACACCCCCAGTTTGTCTGAGCCCCCCCCAGTGCCGCAGAGCAGGGGGAGGTGGGCTTCATGGGCAGGGGGACGGGCAGGAACCAGCGAGGAACCTGCATCGGGGTGGAGTCTGCAATGGGGGGGCTGGCTGGGAGGAGATGGGGGGGTCCTGGCTCCAAGGTGGTGACATCCCTCCCCACACACACACACACATCTTGCCGTGGGAGTGGGGGTCACGGGGGGCCACCCCATGGAACATCCAGTCCCCTCCCAGCAGTGCCGCAGAGCAGGGGGAGGTGGGCTTCATGGGCAGGGGGACGGGCAGGAACCAGCGAGGAACCTGCATTGGGGTGGGGTCTGCAAGGGGGGGGTTGGCTGGGAGGGGATGGGGGGGCTCCTGGCTCCAAGGGGGTGACATCCCTCCCCACACACACACACACCCCCCTTGCCGTGGGAGTGGGGGTCACGGGGGGCCACCCCGTGGAACATCCAGTCCTCTCCCAGTGGAAAATCCCCGGCATTCACTGGGGCTGCCGGCTCGGGCCGCGGGCCAGCACCGTGGGCGTCACAGCCAGGCGGTGGCACGGTCCCCACCGAGGGGTGACAGCCCCAGGGTGACACAGGGGGACACAGATCTTGTCCCCCCATCCCGGGTGGTGGAGGGGGGGGAGTGCAACGCACCGAGAGATGGGAATGGGGGTCCCCCGAGACTCCCCAGGGTTGGGGTGGCCACATCCTTGCGGTGCGAGGCTGGGGGGGCTGCGGTCCCAGGCTGCTGGGGGGTGGGGGACATGGAGAGGGTCCCCCCCAGGGATGTGGGACAGCAGCCACCGCACCCCTATGCTCCAGGCAGCAGTTTGGGGTGCTGTGGGGCCGGTGGGGTGCCAGGAGGCCACGGTGTCTGCTGACACCTCGTGGTGGCTCCACCAGCTTCAGGGAACCCATCGTTGGGTGTTTCCACCAGCCGTGGGTGATGGGGGGACAGGGCAGACCCCTCCCCCCGCCTCGTCCCCTGGGTGTTGTAGGATGGCAGGACCTCCAAAATCACTCACTGCTCCTCCAAACTTTATTGCTGCAATAAATAACCACGGGGGGGGTTTGCCCGGCCGGGACCACGCTGCTCCCCGGGGACCAGAGCACCGGGCAGCGCAGGCAGGGTGAGACCCTTCACCAGCTTGGGCAGGGTTGGGGGGGAAAGGCGACCTTTTCCCAAAAAGATCCCTGATTTTGAAGGGAAGCTCCAAGGCGAGAGGGGGTCCTGGTCGTGATGGGGGGTGTCTCAGACCCCGGGGGGTCTGAGAACAGACAGAATTCGTGTCCTAGATGAGGGGAAACCTCTCCCTTTGCTTCTTGCCTGGCAAGGACAGGGCTTGTGGAAAAGGATGAGGGCAAGGGTGGCACGGCGTGGGGCAAGGAGGAGCCCCCCTGTTTGTGCTGGCTTCCCACCATTCCCCCCCCACAGCTCCCACCCACGGGGGTCTTCCCACCCCCATCGCACCCCAGCGTGGCTC